TCTCTAAAAATAGTACTGTACATCTAAAAAGATGTACTATTTTTAGAGATAAAAAAACGTTATTAAACACACATTAACCACACAAACATAATAGTCTTTGTAATGTTGGAACGATAGGGATATTTTTAAATTGAATGAAAAATCTGGGGTCTATCAAATTCCACTAAAACATGATTTATCAGGAGAAGAGACCAGCTACATAGGGGCCAAGGCCAGAAAATTAATTTCTCACATCCTAGAACATCAGGACAATATTAACCAAATTAGCTAAAACAAGTGCTTGAGCAAGATTATCAGCCACTCTGGGCCCAAACAAAATTACTCAAATGGTGTAACAATCGGCAAGAATTATTTATTTGGGAGAACCTTTACATCTCGGCCTTAACACCGTGCAACACTACTACTCTTGAGATCCCACAAATATGGACAACATTATTTAAGCAAGCTAGCCAACATCTCTAGTACATTATTATTGTTCATTACATATTTTTGGGATATTACAATACTCGTATGGCTGCTCAAGAGTTTTTGAATTTTTATTCTATTTCAAATTCAAATTGATATTCTATCCATGTACTTCATTTAGTTCCATAAGCTGTTTGAATGTTCCAAACTTGGAAACATTGTATTCAATTTTTAATCTGATGATGATAGCTTTATGCTATTCGAAGGTGCTTGTGAACTCTTTTATTTGTTAAAGATCACCATTCGTAACGCCACAACATGCTAGTGAAATTACGTTATAAAGTTAAATGTTGGCGTGAAGTGTACTTTTCTTTTATTATGATAATAGTGTTTAACCTACTTTAGTATTCTTTAATTAAGCTTTGCTTTATTTGTGTGTGTTCTGTTAGTTTGGCATGTTGGAACCCTAAATACTTGTAGAACTCGCCCTCTTCCATGGATTCAATAGCTAGGTTGAGGCCAAAGTTTTAAACGCAAAAACGTGCACGTCAGACATTCAGTGCTGTTTTCCTGTAAGCCTAGAAGTTTGACAATGGTGTTTAGATAGTCAGTGGAATCATGCTCAACACTCCAATCATCATTGTCAAATTTGTAGGCTTACAGGAAAGCAACGCTGAACGTCCGACGTACATATTTTTGCGTTTAAAACTACGGCCTCAACCTTGCTAATAACATCTCCATTTCCAAGTGTAAAATCTTCTTTCTTCAGGATTCCTTCTTCTATGTGAAGTGTTTTGCATTTATCTAGGCCAGTGGTTACCAATTAGTGGTACACGTACCCCCAGGGATACGTGAATTTTCATGAAGGGGTACACCTGGCAATCTAAAATCAGTTGATTTAAAATTTAAATGCACGAGATGAAGAAATCAAAAAAATAACGGGTGGACCATAAAAAATTCGGCAATTTACAACACGATGTCGAATGCACAAATTCGTTTATTTATAACTAAAAATATTCTCGAAATTTCATCAAAAAAATGCATTTGTGACAATACCTAAATGAAATTCTTACGCAAGAAACAAAAATTGTACAATTAACACAATTTGTGTTAATTGTACAATTTTTGTTTCTTGCATAAGAATTTCATTTCTTGCGTAAGAATTCTACAATTAACACAAATTGTGTTAATTGTAGAATTATCATTATCATCATGTCAGCGAAGCGGCAATAAAATATTTACTACCATTTTGCACAACACACCTCTGCGAGAGCAGATTTTCGGCCATGACAAACATGAAAACTATACAACGTCACCGACTTCAACTCGAAGATGACTCGAGACTGAAGCTGACCAAAAAGCAACCAGATTTTACAAAGTTGTGCAAAGATAACTGTGCACATTTGTCACATTAAAATTAAATAACTTTACGTTATTTTCATTATTGTTAGAATTGTATTTTAAAGGTAATAAATGTAAAAAAAAAAACTTATTCTATTCCTCACTAGCTGTCTACCCACAGCTTTGCCTGCATTATATCGAATTTTTTTGTTGGAATAAGATATTTTCTCGCAGTAAAATGTAGCCTATGTCCATCTCCAACATGTACGCTATCTCTGTGCCAAATTTTATTAAAACCTGTTCAGCGGTTTAGACGTGAAAAGGTGACAGACAGAATTACCTTTGAATTTATAATATTAGTGTGGATTAATATGAATTTCTGCTATAAAAGGTACTCAAGTTTAAGCTCTTTCTTGAAGTGGTACGCAGGAAAAACTAATTAGAAACCACTGATTTAGGCCAAACTCCATTTGTATGTCATTGGTGTATGAATATGTGATTTGTAGGAGTTGATAAAGTTGTTTTTGTGTAGATGCATAAAGTTTTATGTTGTCCATGTACATGAGATGTGACAGCGTAAACTGTGTTGTTTTTTCATGTCTGATATTTTAGTCATATTGTGTGTTGTTTAATATGCTGGATAATGGGTTCAAGGCTAGGTAGAACCACAGAGGACTCAAGGAATCTCCTTGAAAAATTCCTTGCCTAATAAATATTTGGTTTGTTTGTATGAAGGTGTTATGAATCCTGAGATTATATTAATAAATTTTTGTTATTTAATTTGAGTTAAGCAACTTTAAACACAGATTCATGGATGTCATTTATATTACACAAATATCAATTAATGTGGTTTTTATTAATTCATTTGACTTAAATTGAATTGTGATGCATACCGAAAAATGGTAGTAGTATCTTATCCACATGTGCATTGAAATCTAATTTGAATAACATTATCAATGGCTCATCTTGTGATGTCTAATGATGCAAGGCAATCTTAGCACCACTAACTTCTGGATCAGTAGTCCCGTCATTTATTTTAATTAAACAGGTATATTAAATATTAAATAAAAATTGTTTTCTGTGAAACTCTGTATTGTCTGTTAAGTCAGTATAATAAGTCCTGATAATAGTGAATGCTTGTTTATAGACGAAAATTTATAATTTAACCCGTCATTTATTGGTTAGGCCAGGGGTCGGAATTAGCGGCTCGCGAGCCGCATGCGGCTCTTTGCATAGACGTTTGCGGCCCTTCGGAAATAAACTCCAATTTCATCTCACCTCATTTCACCGTGGCCTTATAACTTATGAGTTTATGAGATAGAGCTGCCGAACAAACTTCGACTTGTTCTCCGTCCGCACATGACCACACTTGCGTTGATCAATATGAGTTGCATAAGAGTGGTAGCATTTGAAGCATATCTATATATATATAACCAATTGAACGCGTGTCCGTTCATCCGTGTAACGTTATGCCGAAAACGGCCACTAGAGATGCCTCTGTCGTGTGTCGTATTTCGCACATTTAAATTAATATGCGGCTCTCTGGTACTTTTGTTATCCTGTTTTCATGACAATTTGGCTCTTCTCACTTGACAAACTGCCGACCCCTGGGTTAGGCCATCAACTTTCGTTAACACAGGAAGTATATGAAGTTGACCATCTGTGTCTCTCTAATCTGTTGCCTAATTCTTTTGAGTAGCTTGTTCGGCAACAGGGGCAAACTTGGCATTCGAAATTTTGTTTGTAAACCAAATTATTCGAAAAGCAAGGCATTCAAAATCCGAGGATTGACTGTACTACCACGTACTTTCTGATTTTTCTGCTGGCTGGTAGTTCATTTTATTAACTCTGGTTTTATAGCATGTAATTTATTGTTGAGCTGTTTGTCCCAGTCTTCTTGACATTTATTGTAAATGTTGATACAGTTATATTGTTCTTTATAGTTTGGTCTGAATGTCCTTGCTTGGTTCCTGTTTACAGATTATTAGTGCATTTAAAAAACATATGCCTAAGACACCCTCTCACTATTTTATCATCAAAGAACCTAAGAATTCTGGAAATAAACAATCAGATTACACTAATCACAGGTAGGAACGAAGGAAATTTTTTTCTTGAATCTGAAGAAAAATTAGACTGTAGTGGTAATTGCTCCTATAAAATGATGTTATTTTTACTAGCAGAAAATAAAATGTTTAAAAAACTTGTTTTTATTATTTAAAAAACATTCTATATATTTCATTTGTTAACAAAAAAAAAAAAAAAGTAAAAAGTGTTTACTAACCCCAAATAAGCTCTTTATGGCCCTGATTACGCCAAATAAAATATGGTACCTTTAGGAATACAACTGTATTATATCATTACTTCAATGTTTTATAAGATTTGCAAAAATAATTAATGATGTTCAAGATTCAAATATGAAATTGCATTGTTGATGAAATTTATTAGTTTCTTTGAATTCTATTAATAATGTATTTAAATAGTTTTTAACAGAAAAATTACCATACCTACAATTACTTCACCAAATGTATCCACTTATTAACTTTTATTATTTGCACTTAGTCATACACTAATAAAAACAGATTCAACATTACCAGTTTGGAATTCAGTTTCAGTTGTGTTCTTGGTTACAGAAGCATATGCCAGGAATTTCAACATTATTGGAATTAAATGTCTTGAAAAATCAGTTAAAAAGTTTACTCATAATTATAAATGATAAATAATAACCAATGTACTAGTAGTGGTAGATACATACAATATCTTGTCGTCAGATAAGCAAATATATATCAAAAAACAGTATCGTGAATCCCGATACTAGTTTTGATATATATTTGTTTATCTTCTTAAATATTTTATGCAACTTTAGATATATATTTTTTATAAAATACAGGAAAGAACATTTTATGCAGGAAATCTTACTCACATAAAATAACATATTATTATTATGCTTTAATTTACAAAATTTTTGACATTTTTCAAATATATGCATTTAAAAATTTAAATTCTAGCCAAAATTTATGTATTTCTAAGCATAATTTTATATAAAACAGGTTTATGAAGATTATATAACTGTTGTCCCCATTTATAAGTTTTTCTAATCTATAAAGAGCATGTTAATAACACTTCTAAGATATCATTGATCATTGATACAGTTACAATAGTTAATAAACTCTTTCTTAGCTATAATATACATTTCAGACAACTCTAATGTCTGTTTATTGCTTACATATCAAATATTTATGCTCGATACCACTCACCTTAGCTTATAACTTGCCATTTCTATACAGAAAATAAGAATCGGACAGCAACAGAAAACACAAACACGACTTTCCCCAAGGAGGAAAGTAACTGGTGGTACGAAGAAAACGAAATATTACAGATAATATATAAAATAAAATAAAATAAAAATTAAACTTTAAAAGAATTTATAAATAATTATTTACATTTATATTTTTAATATATAATTAATTAAATAAACATATATATAATAATTTAACCAAAGTATTTATATAATGAAAACAAAACGTTTAAATTTTATTTAAATAAAATAAATATTATTTTGAAATTTTTCACATTTAAAATTATAAAAGAAAAGGTGAGCGAATTGTATTAATTATTATTATTATATAACATTTCGTATATTCGGTTTCGGTTTTTGGATTTTAGTGAGAATTTTTCAGCTGTACCAAGATGGTGAGAATTTTATTATAGAAAGTTTTTTGTTATTAAATTTTATTTTAATGTTGTAACATCCGTTATGGTGAGAGATACGAGAAATTTTTGCTTATGTATGACTAAATTAATTGAAAATTACGTTATGGAGCGTATAATTAGAAGCGTGTACGAATTTTTTTCAGTTGTCATGTTGAAGAGGTTTGACTTTTTGTTCTATTTACCCTTTTGCTATTTTCCCTTTCGTATGCCAAATTGCAATCAAATAAAAGAGTGAAGTTTCTATTTGTAAAATGTGATAAAAATTCCATAAATTTTATTTAAAAAATCGATTAATTAATTCATTTTCTAAACAAACTGTCAAATTTCTCATAAATATACATCAATCCATTCAACTTTATGTACTGTTTACAATTTGAAACATAAAATAAAACACAGAAGAAACAAACAGTACTCATTACTTGATTAATTAGCTGATAATCTTTCAATTTCATACAGATTTATTAAGTATTTTCATCATTTTAAAGATTTTCCTTGATAAAATTCCAAAAAGGATGAAACATTTTAAGAGAACATTGTCCTATATTATAGCGTAGGAAAGTTTTTTGTACTAGATGAGTGATATTTAGTTCCTATAACTTGCATGCTGTTATTAATTTAAAAAAACTGTTTATTATTTTTAATACAAATTATTTAAATTAGTAAAAATATATTGCGAGTAAATGTGTTAAATGTGCTAAGTTATTTTTTATGAAGTGATTTTAGTTATAACATTTTTATGGTTTGGAAAAAATTATTTTTGTATTATGTAATACTTTCGTGCATTAATCACATCGCTATTAATATCTGTTTCAAAGGTAAATGGAATTTTTTTAGTATTTATAGTATTTTTAAACAAATATTTTCTAGTAAAAACATTTTTACTTTGTTAATTTTTATGTGTTTTGTATTTGTAATGTGATTAATTAATCAAAAAAATAATTTGGAGTTGGAAATTATTATTCTGTGTAAGTTTTTTCTAAATCTTATTTTTGAGAATTTATGACTAAACTAACAATTCTTAGGTTTTTTTTTTATAGTCAATCTCTTATAAGTTCTTATCATTAACAAATTATAGGGAAAAAATCTGCTTTAATTCTCATTGAGTCATTTTCTTGTTAATTGTATCATTATTGTCTGTAATTGGTAAATTTTCTGATATTTGTTTATTCTTGCATTTCTTTTAATTTTTACATAATAACTCAGATTTAGTTATTTTTATATAATATATAAATTCAATTTTATACAGTAGTTGATTTTCAAGTATTATCTCAGTTTTGTTTTTAGTATAATGTTAGTATAATTTAGTTTTGCTGTTAGTATAATGATTTACAATATTTTATTGTTGGAAATATATCTGTTATAACAAATTTATTTTAGCTTAATGAAAATACACCCTGTCAATGTGAATTTACTTTAAATTTTATTTTTGCTTAAAATAATGTTTATCATTTTAGCATATTTGTTATTGTATTATACAATACAAATTTTGATATTAGAATCTTATCTGTTTTTCTGTTGTTTTTTAATAAATTTTGAAAACAAAATTATTATTTAGTATTGTAATTTGATGGTAAACAGCTATTGAGAATGTTTTCGTTGCTTATAAAAAGATTTAAATCTATAAAAAATTATTGTGTGTTTTGAAATTGCATCTAAAAATAATTCTTTCATTGCTTGTATTTTTGCCAAATCAATTGAGCTTCATATTACTAAATTAACATTAGCATGCTGATATATTATTTGTTTAGACATATATTACTATTTTAATATGAATATTTCATATTCAGTGATTTAAATAGCCTTAAAAATAAAATTTTTTAGTTTAAAGTAAACATTTTTATATAATCTGTGTTTTAATTAACATAATATACATTTATCTTTGTTCTTATCCATCTTATATATTTTGTATGTCTAAAAATACAGTAATCTTTCAAAAACTGGATGCAAATATAAAATAAACACTTCTTAAAAAAAACCAAAAAATCCAGCAAACGAAAACTTTATGCCATAAATTATAAAGACACTGAAACTATCTTGGATGCATGGAAATCTATTTTTGAAATTTATTAAAACATTTATGGTGCTTTGCTGCCAATCAGATTGTGTTCCATTCATTTTAAATTTGTACATTCCAATTTGTATTCTATTTTCAAATACATTAACCTGAAGATTACCTTAAATATAGTTGAAAACATTTGTTAGTCATTAAAGTTTTCTTGGTTACTGGATTTTATGGCTTTTTTAGAAGTATTTATTTTGTATGTCTGTTAATTACTCTAGATATATTTTGGAAAACTTATTGCTTATAGGTCTGTATGCAATCATATAGAAGCATGAGTGCTATATGAAGCGTGAATCTGTTATTTAAATGGAGGAGAGTTTTTGTTTTTTATTTATAACTTCTATATTATAAAAAGTTAGTTTATTAATACTTAAATATTGTATTGTACTAAATTAAAATACATTTAATAAAAAAACAAATTTTAAATATTCTTCCATTTTTCACTTAAAGTTAATTTTAATCTAAATTTCATTACTAATACCATTATTTACAAAATTTTTCATTTATTCATTTTGATATATTAAAAAGTTATGTACATAATCTGTTTAATTTGCTTTTAAATCAGTAAGTCAAATACCATATTTGTATAAAATCAATTTTCCATTAACTATAGAAGAAATGTTTTATCTGACCAAACATTCACTTTAAAAAAAATCCTTTGAAAAAAATATGATTACATATTTAGCATTGTTGTTATAAAAATTTTTGTGTCTGAATAATAGTATGATGTTTCATACTATTTATATGAAATATTATATGTTAATTGTAAAAAATATATTTCATATTGTTGAATAAAGTATTTTTCATAATAATAATTTCTTTAAAATAAATATTGAATAACTTTTTTGAGATATGATATGTTTTATTTTGATTTAAAAAAAAATTGTTATATTTGAAAAAAATTTTGAGTTAGTAAAACAATTTCCTAATGCTAATAATTCTAATTTATTATGGTTTATTACTTATAGTTTGTTATTAATAATGTTTGATTAAACTTAATTGACTTCTAGGATTTTTCATCTTTATTTACTAAGTAAGTGAAAATTAATAAGCTTCTTGAAGTACTGTTATGCTATCATTTTTATGGTAAACATTTTTAGATAAGATTTGAAACTTATACATAACTTTGTGTAAGAGATAATAATAGTTGAGTGTTCTTTATAGTAGTAACTTGTATTATCTCTTCTTCTTCTCATGCTTTTAATTATATTATTGTTTGTCATGAGTATTTAGCTTAGATAAATGCTCTCTTATGGTTTGAGAAGTAGGTAATGACAGAAAACAGATATATAATAATTAAATCAATCTTTTTTGAACACACATGCTTATCATTTATCATTCAGATATTAAAAAAATACATTTGAAACTTAAAGATTTTTATATTCTTAAGAGCGGTATTTATTGTGACATTGTCACAATGATGGGCTGCAATTTTTAATCATATTTTTAATTTAAAATATATGCTTTCCACCTCAAATTAGTAGTGTCTTGCCCCTGTACGTCACACTGTTCCTTTAACAATAGAGTCATGTCAATCATCTATTAACTGCTTTCAGGGGAAAATTTTTGAATTGAAATAACATGACTTCTGGTTTGCATTGGAAGATTATATATAGTTAGTCAATATAGTTTATGCAATATTATTTGGTATAATATTGGTTGAATGGATTGCTGTCTATTTATGAAAAATTTTCCACATATGAAACCGTAGGGACCTCCTGCACCTATGGTTTCTATATCTGGGGCCATATTCTGGTCACCGTCTCTCGTCTCTCACAAGCCGGTTGCTGATTGGCTAATCATTTGGATTAGCCAATCAGCGACCAGCTTGTGAGAGATGAGAGACCAGAGACGGTGACTAGAATACGACCCCTGGTCTCGTCTTTCATCTGTCTAACTCTGTTCTCAAGATTAATGAAAGACTGTGGACAGATGGACAACATTGGAAATTTTTAGGTCTACAATTTTTTTCAAATTGCAACCCAACAAGTAAGTATTTATGATAAACAATAGTTGAGGGAAATAAAGTTACACAATAAAGTATATTATTAAATAGTTATAGGTAATATGTTATTACTACCTCTTACATAATTATATAATTATTTTTGAAAATTAAAATTTGGATTTCTCAAAATTACAGTCGACCCCCCCTATAACACTGTTGATTTTTCCGTTTTATATGAATTCCATGTTGTATGAGTCACTTAGATTTTACAAATACGTGTGCCGGGCTGTGAACGGCTCAAGTATTTGTAAAATCTAAGTGACTCGTACAACATGGAATTCATATAAAACGGAATTATCAACAGTGTTATAGGGGGGTCAACTGGTACAGTTTTGTAGTTACACTTCAAAAACATTCTTTCATAAACTGATGTAGTGTATAAAATTAAAGAAAAAAAGTTTTAAGAATAGTAAGTGTAGTTTGTGACCTTCACTAAAATATTTCAGTAATGAATGATTTTATTTAGTGTGTCCTAATAACCTAAATTTATTATCATATGTCCACACATTTGTTATTTGCTGAATAACAAATATTTACCTTTTGTCAAACTTACTGCACGGTTTGTCACTTGGTGAACTGACACATACACA